CACCCACCCAGGCTTGCGTTCGACAACGAGCAGCCTTGACTCTCAATTGCACTGTCCTTTGACCCGGCAACGGGCCACAGCACAAGCTGCCACGCCGTATCTGTGCTGATCGAAAGACAAACCTTGCGCGGCGGCAGGTCAGTGACGGGATTGTGGTGGCGAAGTACTTCGAGGAGATCGAAGACGATCGCAGCACGCTCGTGGTCAACTGTCAGCGCCAACAAGGCTATGACTTGGGGTTGGACGATACTGGTGACAGATGTTCTGGGCACATCCGTAGAAGCGCTGGAGAAGAGGTGGTAAGTATAATCGATGGCACGGGAATGACGGGAACGATAATAGCGGGAGGTGGTCGAGCAAGTCGTTGTTTGGTCAAAGCAGAATCAAGACGCGACACGCGACGAGCGCTCGGGTCTACTTCGGAACATATGTGGGTCAGTCAGCGTCGCCAAGTCTTGGTCGTATGGCTCGAAATTGACAGACCACTGAGCTTCGGAATTATTGTGCAGATGATGAAACAGCAATGGGCAAGAGTCGAGACGGGTGGGGTGCATCAGAACGCGCCCGACGCCTCACCCGCATATCCCCAGATGATATTCCAGGCGCGCGTCGTCCACGTTCGTTCTCATCAGTCGCTTTTCCCGTCTTTACTTTCAACGTCACTGTACATACACTATTTAACTGTCCTCGCGCCTCCCGTGTAGTCATCGTAGAAGCACAATGCGACGCCCACAAGCTTTACACGAATTCCCCTCGCCGCTCTGTAAGACACAACCGCGATCCGACATCCACAACACGGCTGCCATCCGTAACGCTCAACCGTGAGCGTGGCACCACTGCTTGGTGTAAGAGTCTGGCATCGGATGCGTTGATGCAGGCTTCTCCAGGCGCCTTCCGACCATCGTCTTGACGACTCGGACGTCATCGCGACCGTGGCCCTCCGACCCGTGCTGATACCACGGCAGCGCGTGTTGTGGCTAGTCCCTTCCAACCACTCTCGACAACCATCTCAGTAGAGTCAAGGCTGCTCTTTGGTCAATTAAGAAGCCTGGGCGGGTGGGTTTGCACGTTCGTCTCTGACAGTGCGGGACGATGTATTCCTTTTCCGCCTGATATCTCAAGGCACTAACATCAGCAGTAGTCCGTTGTGACCACCGAGATCCCGATCGATGGATTGACCCTCAGGCTCGAGACAGGTAGTGCGGTGTCCCCGGTCGTCAAAGACCAGCCTGTCGTTGCTGTCTTCGAGGATCCTGATACAAAAGAGAATGATTCGTTTGGACAGGTTTCAAAGCGAAACACTTGCAGCGACATACTTCGACTGTCGATCGGAATCGATAAGCGAACGAGCAAGCTCTCCATCGCGTTGCCCATCCGGATCCGTACCAAGCGGTCACGAAACGAAAACAACAGAAACCCTCACCTCATGTTTCTTGTGGTACCAGCTGGAACAATCACGCTGGAAAGTTATCGTTGCGACTATTAAAAACTCGCTGATCAGCTTCCGGGGATTGCCTCTGAAAGGCCATCTGACGACAAGTCTGGAGAGTGCAAGCTCCTACGAATGGCATTCGACATTGACCCGCGAAGNAGCTATGTGATAATGCCACAATATAAACGTCAGGTCCAGTGGGGAGGGATGCGGAAGTGTATGTTGTGGGATAGAGCGAGTCCGACAAGGTTGATTCGATCGCTATCGGGCACAAATTGGCAGACCGAGCCGGTTGGGCAAGACAGGACTGCCTGCATGAGGTTTTGGCACATGGTAAGCGTGCAGATCCAGGCGCGTGTCAGTCAACGGACCCCGGCGGAAGGCGTGCTCCACGGCCGCAGTTTAAGATTGGCCAAAACCCCAGGCAACTGAAGAGCATGCAGCCATCACAATTTATCTCACTTTTTGACAGCGTTCCTGACCACCATAATGACGCCGCCATCAACATTCCCGCCTGCACACGCTCTCGATCGAGGTTGAAATATGACCACTTGTCACCCACACCGACGGATGCGACTCGACAAGACCTATCGAGCTTGCCATGGAGCAATTGCCATCTACCAAGATTAGGCTACCTGATCATACTGACCACCACCATCGCCTACCATTCGCTGTGGTTCGTGTCCTGGATGAGTGGATGTAAGCGCATCGGAGGCGTCTTTACCCCACCGAATCTGAGAATGTCAAGTCTTCAGCGTCTGATGAACTTGACTGCCCGCCAGCTGGACACATGGTTCGCGAACGCGCGACGTCGTCGGCTGGCACATAGTTGAAGCAAGTGTAGAGGCAGTACAGACAACAGCAGCATCACAACCAACGCAGATTACTGTCAGAGCAATGAAAGCAGGAAAAACGCCAGCCAACGGGCCGTGTCTGTGTACGCAAATCAAGCCATCGCCACATCGATTCACGATTCGGAAGATGAGAAGATCTTCCGCTGCATATTCTGCACAGAGAGTCTCACGATCAAACACAACTGGACAAGGCACGAGGCATCAGTACATTTACCTCTGAAGCGTTTTTTTCTCTTGTCCAATCTCGCCTATGCGCCATGATCCGGTTATAGGGCGCCCGATTTGCACGTATTGTAACTTGCAAGATCCCGTGAGAAAGCATATAGATTTGCACAATCACAATGATTGACAGGTCAAGCCGCCAGAAGCCAGAATCTTCACAAGAGCAGATCGTCTCAGTCAGCACTTGCGCTGGGTCCATCATTGCAACCTCTTGCCTCACATGGATAAATGACCCTTACAAGGCGAGTATATCAACAGTAGATGCGGTCTCTGTAGCGAGAGGTTAACTCGTTGGACAGCGAGAAATGACCACATCGCCATGCATTACTCTAAGGGCTGCGGAGGACTGGAGTCCACTGACTTCACCCAATCCCTTGCAGCCATGCCGCCGTATTTGATAGGGGTCGAGAAGCAGGGAAAACGTGCTTTGCAAAGTTTGTGCACGTCAATCGGGCCGCTACCGAGCTGCGCTGAGCCCGACGACTTCTAAGAAAGCACAGTCAACTCACGCTTAGCGAGCCTTGTGCGAGAGCTGCAAGCTCTGGTAATTCATTACTCTGCACAAGGGTATTCGATTCCCGACCAAGCACTGAGGGATCACGCATGGTGCATCAGTCCTCTTCTCAAGACTTATACAGCGGCAGATAGTCCAGAGTGGCTGGATCTTTTCAAGAGAGCATATTGTTCGGACATCCTCCCTGTGATGTGCGGAGGAGTTTGCGCATCGTTCATAACGCTGACGATCTAGAGGTTTACCACGATCCAGGCTCTGATTATCTTGTTCGTCTTGATCACCCACGATCTCCGCTACAAAGCGAGGTTGCAATACGGCGAACCCGGCCCGCCGTACTATCGAATGCCAACACGAAAACGGACAGGGGCCAAAGCTGACGTGCGAAGCCCCAGATTAGGAATATCTCGGGACCTGCGCCGATGGTGCTGATGAGCATGGGAAGATAATATGATTTTCGCCAATCTCTGACATCAAGTTAGTACGAACAATCTCGACGAGGAAAGCCATCGAAATGAGAACTACTTGGACAACCCATAGTCGTGACAGACGTGCGGGATTGCTATTTACAAAATCGCAATGTCTCAGCAGTGAGTCAGACGTAATGAATATTAGATAGGTAGGACATTCTTCCCAAAAGAACTAAAAAGTTGCAACAGTATCAGAAGCACTAATGACCAAGTAGGAAGCACCTAGTACTCTTAGCCACATGCCATGCGACCTGGATTGATTCTCCTTCTTCTACGCCATGGTATAGTCGCTTAGGTCTGGCTATCACAAGCGATGGTCTCTGGAACTGACGAGCCTTGTATAATTGCTATGAAAGGATTTTCAAACGACAGGAAAGGTTGGAACTCACAGCAGGTTTGTCTGCGGACTAATGGGTTAGCGCTATTAGCATTCGAAATCGATTTCTGTCTGCAAGCTCATCCTGCGATGAGGTCCTCCTGAAACTCGTCCAAGTACTTCAATAATCGTACCGATGGAGATGACAGACAAAAGCCTTGTCTTCGATGACAATCATACCCCACTGGACATGGTCGTAGGACCTGACAGTACCTATCTACCGCAATCTCTTGCCATGAGTATGTGCACTCTGCTTGCATTCTCCACAAAGCATAGACCCTAAGTCTATCATATTCTGCTCGACAGTCCGGACGTAAGCCTCGAAACCCTTATCGTGGTTTAGCTTTGTCAGTCGTCTAAGCGCCTTGCGCTGACGACACCAAGTCTCAAGCGAGCACTGCTGTCTCTTCGCGTCTACTGACTGAGAGGCAAGTTTCAAAGTATGTACGAATGCCATGATATCATTGCTTGAGCAACCTTCATCGGCAGACTCCCGAATGAAGTACTGCTCAGATATCATCAAGTCCGCTTCGCTTACCGAATTGATTCCGACGAGCACTCCCCCAGAGAGTGTGTATACCGCGTGCAACCAGCCACATGGCAAGTGTATCGTCTCCCGGTGAGTTGTGATGGTGTATCTCCCACCTAACAAGATGGATGACAAAGTGACGAACTTATGTTCGGCGTCTCTAGTCTTGTACATCAGATTCAAATTCGTGGCTGTCGGAGGGTAGCAAGCCCACAACTTGACGCAAGATCCTATTACTGTACTCAACACTTGAGTTCCAGAATCTATGTGAGGAAGTAAGTACAAGTCGCCTCCAAAGTAGTCGTCAGCGTTCGGTCGATGTCTTACCGATGTGTAGATCCGTAAAAGAGAATTGAGGCGAGACTACGGCGTCCAATGAGTTCCCCTCTTGGCAGATGTGCCCTTGGTCGATACTAAGCTTCTCAGGGATACGCATTGAATACGAACAATCTTCTCGCAAAGGGATGTTGAATACATAGGGTGTCCCTTGTGGATCTGGTTGGTTAAGACCCCGGATAACCTCTGAGATTGCGCGATATTTTCCATCGCCTAGTATCATGTGTGCTTCACCTCGTCGCCGGACCTCACCTTCGATTATGTTGGCCACTACCATGCCTTCGAGAGTCTTTTCGCATGGTGTCCAATTCCGCTAGAAGTGTTACCACCTCCGCCTCTCTTTAGAGGGCCTGCACTGTTGTTATTGTTGTTATTGTTGTACGCAAATTTGGCGGCAATACTACTTTGTTTCTTTGCAGCTGGTGCGCGTTTCTTCGTCGTTCCTCCAGCAGCGGACTTGCCCTTGCCAGAACTCTGGCGGCGGGGGCTCCTTTCTTACCACCAGATCCGGCACGGGAGGCCCGTTTGTCGGGTGGTGGTACAGCTGCTCGAGGCGCAGCTTGTGACTGTTAAAATCTGGCGTTGAAGGCCTTGACTTCAGCATTGGGTTTGAAGTATGAGGACCTTTCTTGACTTGCGGCCTCAGGCTCGGTACTGAATTCACCATCGTTTACAATTTCGTTGGCATCGTCGTCGCTCTCAATATAGATGACTGTGGCGTGATTAGGATCGTACGGCACGTCTTCTGAGCCTTGCATCATCGTGTCGAGTTGATTCTTGTGTTGAGCGATCAGAGGAAGCAAGGTTGTGCCATGGTAGTCAACCTTGGTATGATCGATACCTCTTATCTTTTTCATGGCTTGCAGAGTCTTCGGAAACACGACCGCCATCTCCCGTAGCATTGTATCAGAAAATGGCTGTTGGCGCAAATCTTTCTTCTTCATTAGCTGCTTCATCTCCTCTTTGGCATCATGAACAAACGAAGCAATCACATCCTGATGAACATCGTCCAGGTTGTGGAGTGCTTCATCCCTGGTGATCGGTTCTCCAAGCCTTGTTTGGTTCAAAAGCCAGGAATTGCTTCNTGTTCGAAGAGTTTCTAAACAATCGTCCTCATCCTTTTCGTCCTCAGATTGGGCGTAGTCTTCATCCTCGTCAGGATCATCAACGTTTAAAGTGTCACGCTCGTGACCACTGCGTGTGAGCCCGCCGCGCTTCCGGCTTGGTCCTGATTGGATTGGAAAGGAGATATTGGTGGAAGGATACTGATGACCTTTTTTGGCTGCTTTGGAGGCCTTGGCGCCGATACCTGTCGCAACCTTTGGCTTTCGCTCAGTGGCTTTCCCACCTGCTGCTGCTACCGGAACGTAGAGCATCAGCTTCTGCTTGCCACGCCCATGTCCAAACATGTGCCTCTTTGGTCCAAGTCCAATATATTGATTGGCGAATTTTGATTTGTTGAACAATGAGAACTCACGGATGACATCTTCAGCCAATAGAAGACCGAACAGACGATCAACGTTTTCTCGTTCAAGATCCTTACCCACGCCAAAATTCTCAGCCATCTTGTCCTCAGGATGGAGGTTGCGGCCCGTACCTCGGAACAGATCAAGACATTGATGGAGAGTGACATTACGAACAGAGGCAATTTCCTTGACAAGCTCGACTACAGCAAGACCGATTTCAGTGTAATCCTCTTCGACCAGCTCTTCGGTTGTGTTACAGTTATCGCAAGAGTTGTTGCAGTCTTCCTTCGAGAAACTTTCTGCGAAGTAAGCTAGGACCTGAACGCGACGGCAGTCAGTTTTGTTCAAGCAGAATTGCGCGACTCTGCGAAGCATGTCATGTTGGCGGTCTTTCTGTTCCTTACTGCCGCTCTCGTTCTCGTCGATTATCTTGCGCAAAGTGAACAAGTCATGCGTGCCGTAAAATAGATAACATTCGGAAGCTGCACCGTCTCGACCAGCACGACCAGTCTCCTGGTAATATCCCTCAAGGCTCTTAGGGATCGTGTGGTGGATGACGAAACGAACATCTGGCTTATCAATTCCCATACCGAAGGCGATGGTTGCAACGATTATTTTAGTTTCACCTCGTTGCCAATCCCTCTGAACTTTGCTTTTAGCTTCTGGTTCCATTCCGGCATGATAATGATGAGCTTTGATATGACGTGCACGAAGCTCTGCAGCGACGTCTTCGCATTGCTTTCTTGAAAGGCAGTATATGATACCGCACTCGTTCTTATGTTTCTCTTCGACAATCTCCTAGATCCTGTCAAGAAGCATTGATTTCCTGGGCTTGGTGTCAACATGGTATCTGAGGTTTGGACGGTTGAAACTTTGTGAGAAGACATCACAGCCATTGATACCGAGATTGCCAATGGTATCAACTTTGACGTTCTCGGTCGCAGTAGCCGTGAGGGCCATGATAGGCACACCAGGATATTCTTCCAAGACCATTCCAAGCTCTTTATAGTCGGGGCGGAAGTCATGCCCCCATTGGCTGACGTAGTGGGCTTCGTCGATGACAATCCTCGCAAGCTTTCCTCTTCGATGCAAATCCTTGAAGGCGGTCTTCATCATCCCACTCTTGTTCAACATTTCTGGCGTAATGTAAAGTAGCTGCACAAATTCCTGTACATTGGGTTTCGTAAAGGTGCTTGTGACCTNCCTGCGCTCATCCATTGTCGTGTTGCCTGTGAGTGAGAACGCTTGAATATTCCACGCTCGCAAGTGCGAGACTTGATCTTCCATCAGACTCAGCAATGGTGAGACGACAATAGTGACACCAGACGTCTTCCCTGACCTGGCAATTGCTGGCAATTGGTAGCATAAGGATTTACCACCTCCAGTTGGCATGAGCACGAATACATGTCTACCAGCAAGTGTAGCATTGATTGCGTTAGCTTAGTTCAATCGGAACCTAGGCAGTTTGAAAAGTTGAGTAAGTCCCCTCTTGACCTCTCTAGTCCATGGAAAATTTCCGAGTTCTTCATCGAGCGTCTTTGATCTTTTGACAAGAGTGGCTTNTTNTGGTCGTGACTTTGGAATATTTGAAATCGGGACAACGGCAGAACAATCATGAGACTGACCGGGCACACCATGGAAAGTGGAGTGATCTTCAAACTCGGTCGCAAGTTCCATGAGATCTTCATCGTCACCGAAATCGTCGTCGTAGTTTTCTTCATCAACGGACTGCGCTAGAGGTGTACCCATGAGATTGCTGAAGAGGCTTTCTTCCCCCTCGAACTCGTCAAATTCGTCAGGCACGCTATAACTCTCCTTGTCACTTTGTCTATGAGGTCGGGCCAAATCCCTGATCGAGGTTGTTGGCTTTGTCGAGGTCTGGCAACTGGTCGAAGTTGTGCTACTGCGCTTTGACGGGAAAAAAGGAACATTGTGGTTGTTGGTATGGCAGATTTTCCTTTCGAGAAAGTGACGAGGCGGACAAGTCTCCATCACATTGGGATCCTCTACATCTGGCTCCGGCTCGATTCGTCTTGCTGGCCTGGATGGGGTGTCCTCAGCACCAGGAAAGCCTTCGACATTTCTGCCATTAGATAGCTGAGTCTGCTTGATTCTTTCGGGGCCAGGGCTGCGCAAAATCTCGGTCTTCGCTCTAGGTACAGCTTGAGGAGATTGTGCCGCAACAGCAGCAAGCTNTTTGAAGTTGGACATAAGACTAGCAGACTCAANGCTTTGGAGAAGCGGCAGAATCTCAGTACGTATATCGCGAATACGTTGTTTGAGTTCTTTCATCTCCTCCTGCTTCTTAGTAGGTTTCTGCCGAGCGCGCAGAGCTTTCCTCATAAGGTCTGAGACGCTCTTCATTTCAAAGTCTAGTGCGTCAAGTCTGTCCTTGGAACTCTTCAGACTTTTGAGAGTTTCATCTATCTCGCCTGCCCGCTCATAGGCTTCAGTGATATGAGCTGGTACCTCATCGATATCGAGAGACTCTATGACCGCCATGTAGGCGTCAGTAGCTTGTGCGTGACGATTTTCAGCCTCAGCCACCTTCGACTCAAAGTCTTCCTGAGTCCAAGCCAGGAACATGTGGAAAAGAGCATCCTGACTCGAGGAACAAGGTGGAAGACCAGGTGATTGCGGAACGACGGTAGGTGATTCAGCAACACGACTGAGCGCGGGAGTCCGGAGTGGCTTCTTCGGAGATACTAATTGTTGCTTCAGCTTGACGGGAGAGGCTAGACGTGGCTCAGGTATACTATCATGTACGTCTTCCATATTTTCATCCGCACTATCCACTACTAAACGCTTGACTCGTCTTTCTTGTGGAGGACCCATAATTGAATTCGAAGACGGTACAGGCGCTTGAGCAGGGCGCTTAGCCGGCGATTGTCCGACGGTGGAGTATGGAGGAGGTGGGCCAATTGATTCATCATCTAGCAAATCATCGATGGACATAAAGCTGTCGTCGTCATCACCGGGTTGCTGGATCGTCTCTAGGCGTGGCGCTTTCGAAGACGAGCGGTTGTATGTATCAATCCTGTGTTCATCGCTCTTTCTCTTTTNGCCTTTTAGATGTGACAACAGTCGAGCCGGCGTGGGCAAAGCATCTTCGGTGAGATCGAGAGTATCAATCTCATGAGGAAATGTAGGCGTTGTTCGAAACATGGTAGTCGAAAAATTAGCAGTACGCGAAGCCGGTGATTGAGCACATGAATCGAGAGGGTTGGACAAGTTGGAGAAGGCTAGTCCTTCGTTCGATTGTGATGACCTCTCAGNGAGAGAGACAGGAGCCGGCTTGGTGGAAGAGGCAGAGGCAGCGACCTTCAACCTTGCCATGTTCGCGCCGGGCTCGCCACTTGGAGATGGATTTGGTCCTTCTCGCTCTACTGCAAGGGGTGTAGTGGTCGGACACATTTTTTGTATCGATGGACGTGCCGGTAACAAGTTGAAATTCCCAGCTACGTTTGGCGAAAGCTGTGTCTGCGAGGATGGTCCAGAGGAAATAGGTATTGGCGGTGGCGAAGGCGAATGTTTTGGAATACACAGTTCTTCCTGTAGCAATCATCCAAGCTGCTCGCGGAGATTGTCCTTAGTCGTTGAGCATCACGGAAACTGACGCCGTCTGTCTTGTTCGTCCGACATGGATTGACTCTTCCTCGACCCGAGTGGCCTCTGTTCCTGCTCAGTTCCGGAATCTCGAATCGCGGCGCGCGCGACTCCCGCGACGACCCGCGGCCTCACGTGCCAAAAGCTGACTTGATGTGGCCAATCTCTTGGCGCTGTTCACCTTTGTCACTCCTCGAACCCTGCTCGAGATCCAACCTCGTGGTGTGCAAGGCATTCTGAATGTGTAGCTCTTGGGATCACCAGCGGCATAGAACACTTCGTCCAATGCATCACTTGTGATTAAATTACGAGCTAGAGCGACATCTCTTGGTGATTTTCTCGAAGAACGAGCAGAAGCCACAGACGAAGAAGTTGAATATAAGAACAAGATCAAGCAATCACAAAGCACAGTTACAGCTCTAGCCCTGGTTCTCAAGAGCCTACAAGTGTCGGTACCTGATTGGGGATCACTACAATCTTGCTCCGCACTGACCGGAACAACCGATTCATGTGCCAGCGTGGCAGCTCGGGGGTTGTAATTGTGTGAGGCAGACTTGATCCGGACTCCGGTCAGGCCAGTTCAAGGGTATCATCTGGCTCTTCCGAACCGTCAGATCAGTCGCCAAGAAGATTCCCACCGACATCGGGTGGAACAAGCATAAGGAGTGTAATGAGAACCACAGCTCCTACGAGAAAAGCAGATATGATATTCGACCCGAAACGTCTGGACATGGAAGGATGCAGTGACTCGGGCAGACATCGTAATAAAGCAAAGAACAGAATCATGGCAGCAATAAGATCGAATGATGGCCCAGGGGTGAGTGTGTAATTGAATGGCTTCAAGTTCAGGTTCACGAACAAGGACGTCTATCTGGCTTACTTTAAGCTTGGAAAGATAGCAGAGAAATTAGTGCGAGCTAATGCAAGAGAATGGATCGACATGTTTCCAAAAAGAGCCAGGCTTATCGAATCAACGTAGTATCCAGATAAGATAGACTTTCTCAAGACACTTATTGCGATGAACCCAGAAGCCGGAGGGTTTAACCAAGATGCAAAATAAAGCTTTGCCGAAGCAGAAAAGGCAGAAGTGATGCAAACGAGATGGCTAGGCAGATTCAGAGGACACAAGATACTTGCGTCAATCGTAGCCAGATTTGCACACAAAGATCACTACAAGAAGGGAAGTATTTATGTTTGGAAGTGTCGTTCCAGCCTCACTATTTCGAGAGGATCGAGAAATCAATGCATGTCTTCTGTGCCAACGATTCGGACATCTGATCAAATTTTGCAAGAATGAAATGCAGTGTTCAAAATGCGCGCAAATAGGCCACACTAGATGATTGTTGAACCAGAGAGTCCTTGCTCAACTGTCACTCCACTACTGCAATTAGGCATAGATATATACGTTACCGAGGCTGTAAAGGTTGAAGGTGTATAGCAACGTATGAATCACTTTCAGGTAGAACGTTATCTACAGTCGAAGCTATTCGTTGCACCGTTTCCGGTGTTATGGAAAATCCTCTTGTACTTACCAGGCTCTCGCAAGGTTTGATTTGATTTGATTTGATTTTCTCAAGCTATTTACCCCGCAAGGGGTATGAGCTGTCCATCGTAAACAAGGTTTCCAGCCAATCACAATCGTCGGTCTTAGTTATATAAGGAGGGTGAAGGTTTCTCAGACCTTGAACTGATCGCAAACGCCTAGTACTCCAATGTGCTCTTATAAAGAGTGACTCCACACTTCCTTCCCTTGAATGTTAGAGGGTGTAAGCCTCCTCCATAAGGGTGATTCCCTATGTCGTGTTCTTCCTTATTAGCCGAACACTGCTTAGAGGCAGTTGGGTCAAGGTGGTGGTCGTGTTGTTGTAGTTGGATGGAGAGCACTTCTGTGTCAATCTGTTAGGTTCGTCCTGTCTTTCGCTGCTTTTATATCTGCCTTTGCAATCTTCCTGTTTTGATGGCGTACTCGATGGTGGCTTTGACTGCGTTCAAGTCTGGCTGCCATTTGTCTTTCTCGCCGTCGACCTTCTTCCCGTCTCTTTCTGCTGTCGAGTATCCTCCTAGTGCGTACGACACGTCCCAGTATCTGCTACCATGCGCTGACTTTAGAGCCTGTCTTTCGTTTCTCCATCTTGGGCATGAGAACAGGAAGTGTGGTACTGTTTCTGTCATTCCGCATTCACATCTGTCTGTGTCTGCAACATTGATTTTGCTTAGGTACGTGTTGAGTCTCGATATGTTTGTCCTTAGCTGGACCAGTATGGCGGCTGCTGTTCTGTTGAGTGCGTTGTAGATCTTATTTGTGTGCTTTCCTGGTAGTGCTTTGTCGATCTTCTGAAGGTGTTTGCCTGTAGTTGCACCATAGAACTCCTGGAGCTTTGGCTTGAAATTCATGACTTTTGCTCTTGCGTATATCGCTGAGATTGGGATGTTGTTTGCGGGATTAGGCATTGGTGAGTCAGCTTCTGTCGCCTTTTGAGCTAGCTCATTCGCCCTCTCGTTGCCTTTGATTCCCTCGTGACCTGGGACCCAGTGCAGTGAGAATGTCGTTTTGGTGATCTTCTCCCTGATTTTCATGACTAGGCTTAGGCTATCATTGATCTTTGCCGATTGGATACTCCGGAGAGCGCTCTGGCTGTCAGTAAAGACTCTAATCTTCACCAATCTGTTGTTCTCGTGTGATAGACCTTTGATAGCCATCCATATCGCTTCTAGTTCTGTCAGATGGACGTTTGTTTCTTCAGCTCTCCTTATTGTTCTTGACACTTCCCACGCTGATGTCCAGATCCCTATACCTGCTCGTCCATTGCGGACGGAACCATCTGTGTAGAAGTCGATTGTTGCTGGCTGTTCTACTGTTGCAAGCTTAGCTGCTTCCTTGTCGAGTATGTGAACATGGGCCTTTGGGCTCCACGGTTCACACCCTATGGCAGGGATCTTCTCAGCTCTGTTTGCATTGAGTTCCCTAAACAATCCTGCTGCTTTCCGGAGAGGTGAGTTAAACCGTCTGATTGGCGTTGTCTTAGCAAGCTTTGCGTGGATATGTGAAGCTTCCAGCTTCTGGATCTCGATCCAGAACCTAAGTGTCTGCTCGTGCAATCTTTGTTGTAAGGATGATATCCCTGCTTCTAAGACTGCAACGTCGAGACCCAATGTTCTGAATCCTCCCACGATGGCTTGTGCCGCAACTCTCTGGGCTCTGTGTAGTACTGATAGCGTCTTGTTAGATACTGCCAGGTACCAGACTGGCGACGCATAATCCATGACTGGTGCAACTGTTGCTATGTACAACTGCCGCATAGTTGATGGGTTCAGGCCTTGCAATCTTTTTAGTGCTTTCTCTGCTTTCTCCGCTAGATGTTCTTTGAATCGAAGTCCTTAGTCTAGAATCACCCCTAGAACTTTGATCGACTGGCTTGGCTGTATCTGGTCTCCTTTGAAGCATAGGGGCATGTCGCTGTCTCTAAGCAGATCACTGTATCTTGTAAAGTGGATGAATGCTGTTTTCGAGGCTTCGAACACTGCACCACTCTCCCTTTCCCATCTTTCTAGTTTCGGCAATATGTCTCTCTGGATTATCCTTGTGGTCCGTTCGGCGGAGTTGCTAACTACCCATGCAGTGTAGTCATCGACAAATGCCATAGACGCTCCTTCCCTGATAGCCATCTGTACTAGATCTGCATTAAAGAAGAGGAACAAGATTGGGGCAAGCGGCGATCCTTGTGGCAGTCCTGACTGGGGTAGGTCCTCTACCTCTGATGTGAAGCCATTGACTACTACACTCGCCTTCCTGTCGGTACAAAAATCTTGGATCCATTTGACCATGGTTTCAGGAATTCTCCTCTGTCTTAGCCTTTCTAGAAGCGGTCCTGTTGCAACGTTGTTGTATGCACCTTTAACGTCGAACGACACCAGTGATAGTGTCTTTTTGCCTCTCCAGGCATCATAGATAGCTTCCTAAAGGTAAGAAATGGCAAGAACTGTTGACTTCTGCTTCCTTGCTCCGAAGTGATTATTAGGCAGGAGTTTGTGCACCTCCGTAAGGTACGTAAGCCGTGTAGCTATTACAGCTTCCATTATCTTTCCTAGCGTTGCTAGCAAAGATATTGGCCTATAACTCTTAGGAAGAGTGTAGTCATCCTTGTTCCCTTTCTTAAGCGGAACAATCTTTGCTACCTTCCATTGCAACGGCAGTTTGCCTTGCCTAAGTGAGGTTGAAAAGAGTGTATAGATTTGCTGTTGCAAAACTGGCCAGACTTCTCTCCATACTCTAATAGTTAAACCATCACTTCCAGCTGCTTTGTCTGGGCTTGCAGAGAATAGTGCCTTCTCAATCTCGTCTATTGTCAGTTTTGCGCTAAAGATCTGTTCTGCAGCATTGTCCCTTGTTTGTTCTGGCCTCTAAGGGGTTGGTGGTTCTGGAAAGAAGCTGTGTAACAGTTCTTTTGCAATCCTTGTTTTATCTTGAATGATCTCCCCATTTTGACCTTTAATGGATGTAATCCTGCCGAAGCTCGATCTCTTGTCAGGGTCGAGGTATTAGGCTGCTTTCCAGATATTCGCAGAGTCTCCTAGGAATTCTGTCCAGTGCGCCCTCTTGCGTTTCTTGATTGCGTGATGAAAGTCGTGTCTTGCTATCTTTGTTGCGATCTCGAGGCTGTCGTCTCGCCTGCCTTGTCTCCTTCTTGATCTTGCTAGATTACGAGCCTTTGTGTACTCTTTTCTCAAGGACGTCAGATCGTTTGTCCACCATCTCTTCGCGTGTTTTGATGGTTTTGCCTTTGGGCAGTGATGATCTATCGCCGTCTGAGTGACTTCTTGAATGTAGCCGTGCATTGCTTCGAGATCGTCTGTCGGGAAAGGGTTGTTGGCTAAGTGTCGCTCTATTTTGTCTCGTATTGCTTTCCAGTCTGCCTTCTGCAACAGGTAGCGTGAAGCTGTTGGGT